AAGGGCCCCCTGGCTAGATCTTAACTGCCGGGTAGGCTCCTATGGAAGGAGGTGGTCCTTCAAGTATCTTGAGGGTGGGAGATGGGACTGGGTTGGAAATGCCTCCCGAACTCATGCTCTCCAAAATGTCTCTCTTGGCACGCACTCTGGCAAAACCAAACACGACAGATCAAGGCCGTTCTCCGAATTCACGGAGGTTAAACCAGCTTCCTCTGCCGGTTTAACCTGCCGTCATCATGTTTCTGGGGACTGGCAGGCGGAGGGAGAAACAGCGGCTGCAGCATCCTCTCCTTTCTGGAAAGCCATGCCAGCCGACTCGCCGGAGGGAAAGCAAGGAAATGGTCAGGAGCAAGAGAAGAAGTTCCCCCTTAGGACATCTTGGTGCAATGGTTTAGATACAAGCCAGAGGTTGGGAGTTTGATTCCCCACTGTGGCTCCAGGGAGAGGAGCCAGTTTGTGTGGCCTTGGGCAAGCTGCGCAGTCCCAGGGTGCCCCCAGAAGAAGGTGTATTATCTACCTACAAACCCCTGGAAATGATTGTCATAATTCAGAATGGACTTGATGGCATGGAATTATTATTATTAATTGCCACAGACACCTACAATGATGTATTTTTGGGGGAAAAAATCCTGACAATCTTTGTCTTCACCTCACTCCAGAGGAGATCAAACAAGCCAGCTGTGCACTGCAAAGAAATATATACTTCTTTTGCAGGGAGGAATCATAACTCAGTGCCAGAGAATGTTTTTGGCATACGGAGACTCTCAGTTGATGCCTCTTGTTCTTGGGATATGAAAATGGAGAAAGAACTGTATTATATTTTCAAAACAGTAGCTGTTCTTCACTTGCATGTTCATGTAGCCATCTAGAGACAACCTCCATTGGACCTTACCTGATTCACAGGGGCCTTGTGTCTGCAAAGACCTTTTCCAGCCAGGTGGCACCTGATGGAATTCAAGATTCGGATCCAGTTTTAGCTTCCAGGCATCCCCAGGTTTCACCTCTTCCATCACCTTCTTGAAAACCTCTAGCCAAAGCTCCACGTCCAGGTTCAACATCTTTCCTTCGAGGATCAGCTTGATCTCATCATGATGGTTTATCTGAACGTTTTAACAAACCAATTTTCAGGAAGCCATGAGCCCAGTGCCTCGCTCCCAGCCACTCTCGCCGTATTAGGATATCACAGGGACCTTTGTCCTCTGCCCTCACAAACACACAAACACAAGAGCTGAGGTCCAGAAACGAAACTAAACAGAGAGCTCCCAACACAACTCTGAAGCAGTGTAAATGTGACATCCGTTGTCATGGAAAGCCTGGGGGGGAGGCGAACCAGTTGGAAAGCAAGGAAGTGGCATAGAGTGGATAAATGTGGTTATTAAGTTGTTGTTGTTGTTTAGGGTGATGTATATAAGCAGCACATTTTGCTCTTTTTTTTCTTTTTCTTTACATTTTTAAAAAACTTAAATGTTTTTTTTTTAATTGTGAAGATAAGCAGAAAAGGGAGCAGGCTATATTTCCCAAACAAAGATTCCAATAAAATAACAAATAATAATCATGTGTCTGAAGGGAAATCTGAGTTAGGAGGCCCCCGTGGAGCCATGCTGTCAAGTCAATTCTGACTTATGGAGGCCCTTTCCTGTGTTTTCTAGGTGGAGGATCCTCAGAAGAGGTTCTCCATTTCCTAATTTAGGGGTGAAGGGAATCCCTGAGATTATTGTGCGGCTTGTCCAAGACCACATGAGCTGGGTCCGCTTTGTAAGGGGCCCAGTGGGGGGATCGAACTCCCAACCTCTGATTCCACAGCCTGAGACCTCAACCACTGAACTCTCCAGACAGCTAAACATCCTGAACAGGCACGGATATAATCTGAATCACGTAACACTGCTAAATGGCAGGGGTTTGTAAAATTACTATTGGTCTCCCCTCAATGGTCAGGCCTGGCAATAGTCACATGGCACTCTTAATGAGTGTTTCAGCTGACGAACTTTTATTGACAATAACACCGACTCAAATGGAAGAAAGGAAGAAGCCTCTTGTGCCAGAGGTTGGTTGACCAACTGGCCACACAATTACAAGATATAGAACAACCAAAAACAACAACAAAAGGAGCATTCACACGCATCTGTCCAGGCAAAGCAAACTCTGTGGTGTGAGAGGATTTCTGAATTTGTGTTACAGTCTTCCGAATATTCTACTCTCCCTA